ACTTTCTGTTACTTGTTGGGAAACTTAGCTCAAGCCATTACTTTTTCCGTATGAATGTTTCTCAGTCTGAAAATTTGGAAGAATGGTTTTTAGATAAATTGTTTTTAAAAACTTTAGTGAAATTAATTGTGCATTTAATGTAGTAGCTATTTAGTGCATGTTTTTTGGTGGGCAGAAGGAAGAAAAGAAAGCTTGTTATGTAACAGTAAATTTTGAAGAATTCTAATGTACTTTTGAAAAGAAGAACACATCAGTTTTTTTTTTTTAAGATTTTATTTATTTGACAGAGATCACAAGTAGGCAGGGGGGGGGGAAGCAGACTCCCCGCTAAGCAGAGAGCCCGATGTGGGGCTCCATCCCAGGACCCTGAGATCATGACCTGAGCTGAAGGCAAAGGCTTAACCCACTGAGTCACCCAGGCACACCAAGAACACATCAGTTTTTATTGATTTAAGTACTCTATCTTGGCTGATTTTGATAACTTAATAAAAAACTGCATTTTCATTTAAATAGATTACCTTTGAATTTCTCCTGTTAACATAAGGAAGCATGTGATTTATTTTAAAATAAGAGAAAACACCAAAGCTCTTTTTGTATTTGGGAAATGGGGAGAAGAGAGGAGACATCATGGAATTTTGTAAATGAATGTGAAAACTATTAGTCTAATAACTTAAAAAAACAAACGGCTGGTTTTCCTGTCTCATGAAAAGAGTCCCCACCCGACCCCATCTCAGTTTGGTAAAAGAAATTGCCATTCTCAAAAAAAAAAAAAAAAAAAAAAATTGCCGTTCTCTTTATTGTCAGAACAAATAGTCACTATAAGAAAACTACTTGCAAACTGGGTTTTATTTTTTTTTAAGATTTTATTTATTTATTTGACAGAGAGAGAGGTCACAAGCAGGCAGAGAGGCAGGCAGAGAGAGGGGGGAAAGCAGGCTCCCTGCTGAGCAGAGAGCCCGATGTGGGCTTGATCCCAGGACCCTGAGATCATGACCTGAGCCAAAGGCAGAGGCTTAACCCATTGAGCCACCCAGGTGCCCCAACAAATTGGGTTTTAAAAGATTCATCAACATACAATCTGTTTTCGCAGAAGACACTTACAAATTCTGTAATTTAAACATATCTTTTCAAAAAATAAAATTACTGATAAATGATCAGTTTATGTAATGTCATTGAATTTAACTTGAGATATAACAATTTAGCATTTTTAATGTAGAGTTTTTATTAAAAAATTTAAAAATGAATTTAAAAGTATATGCATCCATATACTGGGCATTTCACTTACTTTTTAGTTTTGGCTGTGTGGTTTGTATTTTTTTTTTTTTAATTAAAAAAAGACCCTAAAATCGTGCTGAATTTGATTAAGTGCTTTTAGAAATACATATTCAATTATAGACTATTAGCGCATTAACATATATATTAAGTAAAATGTAAGTCTGGTTGTAGCTTCTGAAATTTACTTACATATTTTTAACACTTGAGATGCTATATGTATATATTTAAGTATTTGTGTGCACTAGCAATTTGAAGGGGCTTCAGAGCACTGTAATAATATTGAACCTTCAGTTCATTTACAACTATGTCAGTTAAATTCTCCCCAAATAATAAATTCTGCTCAGAATCTTGTCTGGTTTATGGCAAAATAAATAAAGTAATCAAATTGCTAAGATTATGCACCCAGTTTCTTTACATCTGAGAAAAATTAGTTTTGTGGAATGTAATATTTATTAAATCGTGAGCTGTCTGAATTTTATGTAAAGTTCATTTTTGCTTTTCTCAAAATATATTAGAGATAATTGGAATACTTTTCCATAGCTTATTGGGAAACTTGCAATAAACAGAAAGTGGCTTAGAAAATCTAGCATATTTTTTGAGTGTCTATCTTTGACATCCAAATGGGAATGAACAAAATGGGGGTGGGAGCATTATAAACACTTATTCTTTGCAAATTCTCCTGAAAAAAATCATCACCACTCCCAGCTTGATTTGTTTCATTTAGTTCTTGCCACATAAACTTCTTAGGTCCTTATATGTTGTATATTGAAGAAATCAGTGTTGAGGGTTTTTTTGTTCATTTAGATTATTGGAGCATTCTGTTCTACGCTTAGAAGTGACCTGTTTATTGGACCCATGCTATCTAATAACTAAAGCATATGAAATTTACTACGTTTTGTATTGATTTAATATTAACGTTAATCTAAAATATTTCAGTGCAGTGTGTCACATCTGTTTTGTATTCCTCTGTTTAAAAGAAGTGGCAGTGTGGTATTTGGAGGAATATTTATTATCTGAGTGTTTTTCTTTGCAACAATTTCCCTCAGTCTATTGAGAATTATAACTTCCAAGAGACAGTGAATCACCCAGCAAATTCTCAGGTACCAAACTGCTAAAAGCCACAGTTAACTGGAATTTTTATTTACCACTTCATTACCCTTTACTTAACAGTGGCAATTTTGAAGCCTTTTTAAAATGATAGAAAATAAATCTGTGGTGAAATTTTTTAAAATATTCTTTCCCTTAATAATCAGTCCAGCCTATACTTCATGGATACTCTAGGTTTTTTCAAGAAAAAAACTTTGTTAGACTGTTGATTTGTGTTTGAAACCAGTTTTCCATGACCAGTGACTGAATATTCTTACCCTGTGATGGTGCTTCCTAACTTTTTGAGGGGTTATGGGTTTTAAGTAATCACTGAAAACTATAATCCCATTTCCTAGACAAAAATGCATAGACACCATATTTTGTATGCAGTTTTAGTTAATCCTGTTTCTCCCTATCCAGAAGATCATGGGCCTCTGGTTAGAAACTGCCACTATAATGGAACTGAAAAATCCCTTCTAGAGTGTTGGTTTTAACATCCTGTTATGCCACATTAAGAGTTTTCTTCACTTCAAGCTTTATTTGACATTACGTTTTCTCCTTCATCATTACATAGTAGAAGTTAAGCAGAATCTGTATCTTATTTTGGAGAAAAAGCACAATTACCTTTTAATTTTAAAGTGCATATTTGAAACTGTAGAATATATTTGGCCTTCTAGGTGCTTTAGATTCTACCTTAGACACATAAGAAAGGAAGAAGATGGTTTTTCCGTAAAAAGGTGTTATTACACTTATTGTTTAGCACAACAGTATGGGTTTTCATTTTAATGAGAGGTTTAAAGCTATTCAGGGGCGCCTGGGTGGCTCAGTGGGTTAAGCCTCTGCCTTCGGCTCAGGTCATGATCTCAGGGTCCTGGGATCAAGTCCCACATCGGGCTCTCTGCTCAGCGGGGAGCCTTGCTTCCTCCTCTCTCTCCCTGCCTGCCTCTCTGCCTACTCGTGATCTCTCTCTCTGTCAAATAAATAAATAAAATCTTTAAAAAAAAAAAAAAGCTATTCAGAAGTTGTTTGTGTGTGCTGGTTAAGAGTGTAACTTAGGTTTAAAGCAGATTAGGGTTCAAATTCAACTCAGTAGTTTACCAACCAAGTGACCTTGGGCATATTACTTATCTGTTAAAAAAATCCCCATAAAAGGATTAAATGAGATAAAGTCTATAAAGTGGTTGATTTTGTACTTTGTGTGTAATATGCACTCAGTTACCTCTTTCTGTATGATGATGGTAGTATTGATGATGGTAAACAATTACAGAGTGTTCATTTTTCCTATTAGGAAATTTAGGACAGTAGACTTGGTTGCAAAAAATACATAAAATCTTCATATTCCCCAAAATAATCTTCTGAAGTCTTGATGGCTTATAATTGTTGTCAAAGTTCAGTCAAGAATTCTTCAAAGTTGGGTAGCAAGCTAACTATTTTCACACTTTTCTTATCAGTGTTCAGCTGTTACAGTGAGGCAATATGTTAAAAGTTACCCACTAAACTTGTCTCACAATTAAAGTAAATATTGAGGAACAGAGAAAGGAAGACGTTTCTAAGAGTGGATTAAAAAGCATAAACATGTTTCTGCTTTTGAGTCTTGACACCTGGCTGGTCTCATGGTAAAGCCACAGGTATCATGAATACTTCGGGTAGATAATGTTCCTTTGCATATTATGTCATAAAGAATACCTCCAACTTAGGGGCACCTGGGTGGCTTAGTTGGTTAAGTGTCTGACTTCAGCTCAAGCCATGATCTCAGGGTCCTGGGATCAAGCCCTGTGTCTGGCTCCCCGCTCAGTGGGGAGTCTGCTTCTCCCTCTCTCTCTGTCCCTCCCCCCACTTATGTGCTCACACGTGTCTCTTTCTCTAAGAAATAAATAAAATCTGAAAAAAAGAATACCTGTAATTTAAAAATGTTGAAGGAGTGAAGTAGTGATGTCAACCACTGTATACTTGTCCACTGTAAAAGAGTGTTCCCACCGTGGTTTGAAAAGTATTTGGAGCCGAAGAAAGGATAATGTGTGTTATGTTTTGATTAAATAATGGTTTAATACCTGCCTGAAGTGAAAGTCTTCAAGTTTACTAAAAGGATGATTTCAGGCCCTCCTGAAAAGAAGTGGGATAATATCCTGTCTGATCCGTTTCCTTTTCACATTTGTGGTTGTTCATTATAATTGAGTAATAATCATGGCAGTGTTTATGGCAGTGATTTTTTATATACCCACATGTGCACATATCCACTCACATGTATGTGTTCTCCATAATACTTTAGAATGATTAATTCAGTTGGGAGTCATAGTAACAGATTATGAACAGAAGAGAATCTCAGTATATTCTGGAAATTCAAAGTTTGTATTAGGGGAAAGGGTCCATTGTGTTCATCTATAAACTGTGTCCTTACTACTGACAGGAAACAACTCAATGAATTTGTTATGGATTTAAACCTGTGTATTTCCTCTGTGAAGAACACAAACCTTACTTGATCACTTTATGAAAAATTATATGCTACAGGTACCACTGAAATATAAAGAAAGCACTTTGCACTGCAGTTCTTTTTCTTATAATGCCCAGTCTTATTCATTAATTTTCTTTGACAGGGAGAGAGTTTGGAAAATCATATTTCCCCTTTTCTTTCTTCTCAGTATCGTCAGTGAAGCAGGGGCGTCAATCTACAGTGTCAGCCCTGAAGCTAACAAAGAGATGCCAGGGCTGGACCCTAATTTGAGAAGTGCAGGTAAGAAACTATGGGCCATCACAAAGGTGTGTGGTTTTGATATTTTGAAGGACTTTTATTTTTAGCAAGCAAGAAAATTTAGAAGATATATGCATACAAATTAGCATGTTAGGAAGAAAATGGTTGATTGGAATAGTAGTTGAAATTATGGAAAAGAAGAGGAAGAATACTGTTTTTAAAGAGTATATTAAGGGGCGCCTGGGTGGCTCAGTTGTTAAGCATCTGCCTTTGGCTTAGGTCATGATCCCGGCGTCCTGGGATGGAGCCTCGATTATATTCCCTGCTCAGTGGAGAGCCTGCTTCTCCTTCTACCACTCCCCCTGCTTATGTTCCCTCTCTCACTGTCTCTCTCTCTCTGTCAAATAAATAAAATCTTTAAAAAAAAGAAAGGTATAATAAAAAATTAGCCCAAAACATCTTTAGTAAAATTAGGTGCTTAAGTATTAATGATAAAATTAATAAAATACTCCAGATCTCTTATTACTACTACAAAATATTTATTACAGCTTTTTATTGACAAAAAAATAATATATTAACCTAAATATATATAAACACGCACAGCTTCTTGCTATTTGTCGAATGATCAGTTTCTCTTATCTTGCTAATGGGGCAGTCATTAATGTTTAACACAGCCTGCTTTGATTTTAGTTGTATTAAGTTGCTTTGGTTTCTGTTTTGTGGAATAGTTAAAATCTTGTGTGTGAAGAAATTGAGATACTTTCATACATCTAGTGAAAGTAATTTGTATTATAAGCAAATTATTAAATCTGGTAGAGCATCTCTCTGTGTGATAGTGGGATATTTAGACTACTTTGTTAGAAGGGACTTTTTCATTTAAAATTTTTCCTTAAGGGGCATCTGGGTGGCTCAGTTGATTAAGCGTCTGCCTTTGGCTTTGGTCATGATCCTGGAGTCTGGAGATAGAGCCCCACATTGGGTTCCCTGCTCAGCAGGGAGTCTGCTTCTCCCTCCTCTGTCCCTTACCCTCTCTTGTGTTCTTGTGCACTTTCTCTCTCTCTCAAATAAGTAAAATCTTTAAAAAAGTAAAATTTTCCTTAAATATTCTCATCAGGTTTCATTGGCTGTTATTGAAATCTATACTTGGAGATACATATTTGAAAATTTTTGCATTAGTCTGAGGCTAAAAACCTATTTCTTACATTCAAAAGAGCTTATAGTTTCCCTTCAGTTGTTTGTTCCATGATATCCTCTGTCTAAAATGATCTTCTCAAACTCAGATCCCAGCTCAAAATCTTGGTCCTTCTGTGAGGCTTTTTCCTATCACAACAGCTCAGTGTGGTCTCTGCCTGCTTGCCTGTGCTCTTTTGGTACTGACCTTGTAATAACAATAGCAGTAATAGTAGTAGGAGGAGATACAGTAATCATAGTGGGAGCTGCTAATACTAATCTTTTAAAGCACTTAATATAGGTGAAACATTGTGGTAAATGCATTACCAGGATTATTTTGTTTTATTCTTATAAACCAAGGCTTAAAGTGTCCACATAATCAATAAGTGCATATATAATCCTTGTGTACTTGTATAATAAAAGGATACTTTTTTAAATTAAAAGATAAAATTCAGGGGTGCCTGGGTGGCTCAGTCAGTTGTGTCCAACTCTTAATTTTGGCTCAGGTAATGATCTCAGGGTTCTGAGATCGAGCCCCACGTTGGGGTCCACACTGAGTGTGGAGACTGTTTAAGATTCTCTCTTCCTCTCCCTCTGCCCCTCTCCCACTCTCTCTCTGTCAAAAAATAAATTAAAATTCAATTCAGAACCTTTCAAGTTGGCACTGAAAGGGAATCTTCCAAAAGAACATTTGAAAGAAATATTGCCTAGGGAGTGGCAGTCTCTCAGACCTCCCCCTGCTAAGGGGGCTGCTGTTTCCTCTTCACCACTGGCCTATGTGGGTGCGTAACTGTCAACGGTGTTACAGGTGAGACAAGATTGTAACATTCCAACAAGACTGTCTGAAAATAGGGGATAATAAAAAGAAGAATTATTATATGGCCCGAATTACTCAGATTCCAAAGTCTGGTTGTGTCTTCAATTTGGGATTCACTGCAGGTATGCCTTCCTGCTATGTCTCAGCTTGCTTTCACCTGGCAATGACTATGTTGATCCCTGTCAACTCAAAACATCCGCATAGACATTTTGAGCCTTCAAGAACTGATCCTGGAAGCAATTATTGAAAGAAGGTCAGAGTTTCCACGCTAGGTTTTCTAGAGTTCACTTCTTCCTCAATTCTTCATTTCTAGTGATTGATGGCAGGGATGACTTTATAATTCATATGAGACCTGTCCTACCTATGGGTGTGGGTTTTCCTTTTCAGCCCTCCATAAGTTTACTATAGCAGAATATAACAGAACCTTAACATTCATGCAGTATTAAACATATGTAAGAAGATAACGTTCATATTACTGTATCTTCTTGACCAGTTTGTCAGCTTACTGAGAGCAGAGGTTATCCTTATATATTCTTACAGTCCCCCATAATAAGTTCATTATACTGGAGAGGCATTTAAATTGGATAGAATAGTAGGTAGGTCATATTAAAATGTTTATTATGGATTTCTGATTTAAAATAGAAGATTGAGTATTCCTTTACTCCCTTCTGAACTCCCATAAAAGTGACAGTAGCGTGATGGAAAGAAGGCACAAACTTACTAGGGCAAGGAAGGGAGAGGAAAGAACAGCAATAATCGTTTTGAAATGGGAAAGCAAATGGCTGAATAATAAGTGATCTAGCCAACTTGAGAAAGTTGAATACTAACACAGAAAGGTAGAAAACCAGGAACTAATCTGAAATGATCATGGAAGCCTTATAGGTTCAGGAAATGCATGCACCAAGTTACCTTTAGAAGTATCTTGGGAGGGCTGCACGTAGGCCTAAGTGAGAGGATTGATTGAAAGTTCTGTGTAGAAAGCAGTTGGACGCAATTAAACACAGAATACCCTTTAACCCAGCAATTCCACTCCTCAGTATATACTCAAAAGAGTTGAAAACAAGGACTCAAACAAATACGTGTACGCAGTGCTCGTAGCAGCACTGTTCACATAGCCAAAAGCTGGAAACAAACCAAATGTCCATCACTGGATGGATGGATAAACGAAAGGTGATATATCCATACAACAAGCTATTATTTTTAGTCACAACAAAGAATGAGCACTGACGTGTGCCATAACGTGGGTGAACCTTGAAAACATGCTAAGTGAAAGAAGCCAAACACAAAAGGCCACGTACTGTATGGTTACATTTATATGAAATGTCTAGAATAAGGCTAACCTATAGATGCAGAAAGCAGGCACTGGGAAGAGGAGAAAATGAAGAGGGACTACTTTAATGGGTATGGGGTTTTCTTCTGGGGCACTAAAACCGTTTTGGAACTTGGTAGAAGTGGTGGTGTGTACAATAGTGTAAGTGTAATAAATGCCACTGAATTGTACACTTGGAAATAGTTAATTGTATGTTATGTGAATTTCACATCAATTAAAAAACCAAAATTGTTAGATCTCCTGTTCCACACAGTTGAGTGATTCTCCTTCTTTCATCTTTGTAGAAGACTGGAGATTTTTTCCTCTGGAGAGGGTTAAATAGTCTCTCTGCTGGAGGACACAGGTTATACATAATAATGGGGATAGCTGCTGAAAAAAGACAGATTAAATAATTATTTACATGCTGATGTAGAGATCTTAAGCCTAATCTTCCATGCAAGAGATAGGGGAAGACTGACCTGCACAAGAGAAAATACCTAATGAAACTGAGATCAGAGGTCCACAAGAAATGAGCCAAATCACCATAAAATGAAGCCCACAGTTGATAAACTTCACATTTAGGCAAAGCACTTACAGTCAGCTTTTTGGTACCCTTGCCCTGGTGGACAGTCAAGGGTCACCTATCATGTGAGGAGACTTAACACTGTTGAAGACAGATGTGGCGGTAGTGCAAAAGCCACTGAGAGGAAGTAAAGACTATATAGAAGGAAGGAAAACTTTTACATCCTTAGAGAAAAGAAAGGTATTTTATTCACTTAAATGAACTTGACATAAAGTAATATTCACCCTTTTTAGGTGAATTCTTGAATTTATCTGTGAATTTTGAAAAGCTTAAACTAATCAGGTTACCACAACCCCTGACACTACAATTAAGATAAAGAATATTTTTATCTGGCCAACAGATTAGTCTGCTTCTTATTCAAAAATGAAATTATTAATTAGGGGATCAAGATCATTTATTGAAACAACATTTTAATAAGTTTTATAATGAAAAAATTCTTATTTGGAATTGCTGAATGAAAAAACAGCATGGAAAGTCTTATGTCTTAAGTCTGATGGCAAGGAGAAGGGGAAAATGAGGGGAGTATGGGCCTTTACAAATAAAAATTTTCACTTTGATATTCCTAGATAACAAAATAAGGTAAATTTTTAGGAGAATGCAGTTTAGTACAGTCTTTCAAGCATTAAGTTTGTTTGCTTTAGAATGGCTTTTAGATTCTAGATATTTCAGAGTACTGAAGACCAAAACCCATAGAACCCTTTTTCTCCTTTGGATAGAAAATACATTTTGAATGAGGGGGGTGTTGCTTTCAGGGTCACGTCATGTGGTTGTGCAGGTCTGTGCACGAGACATCCTGCCTAACTATAGGAGGTAGCTCTGCTTACGGACCTATGAGAGCACTCAGTCTCTCGCCTCTCCTTTGGGTATAACTAACCTATTTTTTCCTTTAATGCTTAACTTTTTGTTCAGTAGCGGTTTAGTTGTCTCCCTTTCCAAACTGAGTTACATTATTACCATTTAACAGATTACCGTATATTAAAGATGAAATTCCTATGTGTATTTTTAGTCCTCTTTTCCTTGGTCTCACTTTGCCACAGTGCAAGACTCTCAAGTTACGGTGGCTTATGATGTGACTTGCTTTAATCTTTTTTTAATTGTACTTTTCTTATGCATATCCTTTTTTCCATATACACTTTGGAGCCATTTAATTGAAATTCTGTTAAATTGGCACCTTCATCCAAGTTCTGTACACTTTATTACTCACAGGCAGCGCACATACACACACAGAGTAAATGGATTGCCCTTCACAATATTTTCTTATTGGTTGTTGATGGCATATGGTACTCTATCAGTTATTGCCTGGGTGTTTTTATTTTTATTTATTTATTTATTTATTTATTAAAATTTTTTATTTATTTGACAGACAGATCACAAGTAGGCAGAGAGAGAGAGAGAGAGAGAGAGAGAGGAGGAAGCAGGCTCCCTGCTGAGCAGAGAGCCCGATGTGGGAATCGATCCCAGGACCCTGAGATCATGACCTGAGCTGAAGGCAGAGGCTTTAACCCACTGAGCCACCCAGGCGCCCTGCCTGGGTGTTTTTAAACCAGCCAATTGAAATCTGAGTTCTGATCTTTTTTCAGTTGACTTGTTTGGGTTTTCTAAAGCAGTCGAACATCATCAGTAAATAGTAATCTAGTTTCAATCTGTAAGGACCTATTTAGCCAGAGCGATGCCATTGATGCCATCCAGTTAAACAGTGATTTTGTTGTTTATGCAGTAAAACTTAAACTGACCCTGCCCTCCCTGCCCAGGGGACTTACTTAAAAGCAAGTCCGGGAAACCAGTCCCAGGTAACAGAGCCTAAATACAAGGGTGGGTCAGGCCAGGTGGAGACATCCAATCAGTGGGGCACACATACTGTCTCCCTAGCTGCTGAGGAGTGTGGGCCCCACCTTTCGGGCGCCAATTCTGACCAAGGTGATAGGCTAGTTCAAATATCTACTATAGGGTAAATTGTGATTCAGTTGGTCACTTGTGTGTGACCTAGCATGACTGGGCAGCTTTCTCTGTGTGTTGCAATCTCATTGGCCGCCTGTGTGTGGCCAGGCTCAACCACATGGCCTTTGCCCTTTAAAAGTTAGTTGGCAAGGCAGAGAGGGGTCACCCTCTCTGTAAGAGGCGGCCCTGACCGGTCGGTTTGATTCTTGATGCTTGGCGCGAAATAAAGCTTTGCTTGACCTTCGCTTTGTATCAGTCTCACTCCTTTGATTATGGACCCATCAAATCTTTTCAGTAATGATACCATCTTTTTTTCCTTGTCCAGTTGTACTGACTAGAATTTTCTGAACAATGGTGAATAGTAAAAGTGACATAGAGATATATTGACATCATGTGGGCAAAATAGTATTGGTATATGCTTGGATATACTACATTGAAAAAATATATAACAGCTTCATTGAGATATAATTTAATAGCATAAAATTTGCCCTTTTAAAGTGTGTAAGTCAGTGTTTTTTTAGTATAGTCAGAATGTGCAGCCATCGCCACTATCCAATTTTAGAACATTTTCATCACTCCAAATAGATACCCAGCACCCATTAGCAGTGGGTCCTCCTTGCCCTCTTCCCCCGCCCCCTGATAAATACTGATCTACTTCCTGTCTCTATGGATTTGCCTACCGCAGACATTTCATATAAATGGAATCATTACAACATGTGGTCTTTTGTAACTGGCTTCTTTCACTATCATAATGTTTTCGGAGTTCATTCACACTGTAGCATGTATCAGCACTTCATCCCTTCCCATTGCCAAATAATTTTCCATTATTTGGGTATACCATATTTTGTTCATCCATTTATCTGCTGATGGGCATTTGAGTTGTTTTCACTTTTTTGGCTGTTATAAATCATGCTGCTATGAACATTCATATACAAAATTTTATGTGGACATATGTTTTCATTTTTCTTGAATATATACCACGCAGTAGTAAAAATTTGCGGACATATGGTTACTATGCTAAACATTTCTAGAATTTTTTTTTTTTACTTCTGTTGCTACTTTCCTCACTGTTTAGTTTCACCCTCTTTCACTGTGTCCATCTTTTCTTCTCTGTCTCACAATGTGCACATGCCCTCAACTTTTGGGCTATGACTCTTCCTTTGTCTTTGTTCTCTATGTCAGCACTCTATAAGACTTCTTTTACCTGAGCTACCTATCTGTATCCTAATTTCAGGAATCTTTTGTCAGCCCGATCATTCTCAACCTACGGGTGTGCATTACTACTGTTAATTCCTTTCTTGTTTATCCTGCCAGCACCATCTTCTCTTGAAAGTCTGGACATACAGCTTTCCAATTTTCCTTTAAACCGTGTTTAGATTCCTCCTTCGTGAACAATGAACATCCTTCAGATGAACAATGTTCATTTTCCTCTTTCTCCTATCTTCGATCTCTTCTATGCTTGCTTGAGTTTTTATGCTCTGTAGAGTGAGTAGCATCTGAAAGCAAAATACCAATTCTAGAAACATTAGGGTCTATGTAGAGGTTGTTTAGTGGGGACGTTGTAACTCCAGAGGCTCTTAGGACTTATTGGAGAATTAATGTATCATCTAGAAACTGTCATTTAGCAAATCAGTATGAACAAAGGAGATGCTAGCAGTGAACCTATTAGGAGGAACCAGGTAGAAAATAGGTTAAAGTCCTTTTCTATACTTAAAAAAAATTTTTTTAAAAAAGAAACCTGTTCACACTTAACAAATTATGCAACTGCTCTAACCAGTTTTTAAGTTTAGATTTTCGTAATGTGGGTTTTCCTGGAGGGGTAGATTTGAGAGATTTACCTATTATTAATACCTGTTTTTTTAATTTTTGGTACCTTCCTACAGTGACTGTTCTGATGCCTGTGTCTTTCACTTGGTTTTCTGTTGTGGGTTGTTGTGTTTTGTTTGTTTTGTTTTGTTTTGCTTTTAACCTGAAAGTATTTTGGCAATGTATGTATGTGAAAATCAGTCTTATTGGATTATATTTTTGAAGATTAGAATAAAGAAATGATCTTTCCTTCCAGAGACTATCAGATGTTTCCCTGGTGGTATCTACTGTCACTGTGTAATTATACATGTGATTACTGGGGGAAGCAGCTCCCCTGTAACCTGCAGCACTTGCACTCATTAACCTGTTGCGAGTTTTGACAAGAAAATGTATGTGACGGCCTTGAAGCCTAGAGTCTGCATCTTCTTCAGTGGGGAAATAGGCAGATTGTGTGACACCAGCTTATTGCTCTCTAAGCTGGCTTTGCAAGCTGCCATTGTCACTGTTTGTGAGAAGTAATAATAAAATACATGAAAAAGACTTGAATGTCCATGCAGTGGACTGAATGCTCAGAGTAGAGCTTGTCTCTGATGAAGAGGTTGTACAAATCAGTGACAGGAGGATCTGATAGTCACTTGCAAATGGTGGCTTCTGTTGCCAGACCTTGAACAGTTTAATAACACAAGAACAGGCATGGGATCTCCTTTGATGGCCTTAAAGTTTTCACTGAATGGGTTTATATTTCATCCAACTTTCTGTGTGAGAAGATGACACTGACTAGCTTTCTCGCATTTAGAAAATGAAAGCTGTTGACCCAATGTAACTATACCACTTGGGAAAAGAAAAAAAAAAGAGCTACCCTTGGACGTATCCTTAATATTCATACCAAATTTCTTTTCTCCAGCTAAATCTATCTTATAAGTTAAATTAGGTATGAAATTTTGTTACCATTTCGTAAGAAAAAGATGAGAAATGATGACCAAGTAAAAACATGACAACAGATAAAGGGATGTTGGAAGCTAACTCAGACCTCTTGACCGTGGATTGTTATGGTCAGGAAAGGGCTGTGATTTAGAACTGTGAGTGAGTGTGTTCAGAGACAAGCAGCTGAGATTCAGATCACTTCACAGTTACTCTTGCAATGACATCTAAGGCAATACAAGTGTGTTCATGAGCCAACTGACTCAGTCTCCAGTTGCAGTAAGGTATGATTCCATCCATTACTCATTACTATCAGGACCCTAGTCCTAATAACATATTTGATTTGCAAATATATGTCATAATAATGCAGGATTATTTAAAAGTGAAACAAATATTGACTTGTTCGTTAAAGTGTGAGGTGCGCTGATGTGCTCTGGTTGAAGAATGAACAGGTGATTATTTAAGTATAGCAAGTAAGTGTTACATCTCTTTTTCCAGATGTATTAACCTTTCGATCTGTTTGTGCTCCGGAATGCCTACAGATTCTGGTAACAAAAGTAATCCTGAAATTTTGCATTCACTTCTTTTGTGTGAAAAAAGGAAACTTTGAAATTTAGTCAAATTGTTGGTTTCTTTGTGTGGGAGAAGAAGGAAGGAATTAAATACTTGAATTATGAAGGCCTAACTAAGTTATTATTTGGATACTGCTTTTCACATTAAGCCATACTTATTTTCTGTTTTTTCAGTTTCCATAGCAAGGCGTGTACAAGACCCATTAGCTGAGCTGGTGAAAATCGAGCCGAAGCACATTGGAGTTGGAATGTACCAGGTAAAGCAGTGTGGGTCATTTACTTTGTGAAACCCGTCAATAGTATGCAGACTTGGCATAGTAATTAAGTGTCGGTGGGAATACCTTCCCATTTTCAGAGGTTACACAGTTGATGGGAAGGTAGTTAGGAGTTATGTTATTAGAGAAGGGGGGAGTTTTTCTTTTTTTTCTTTTCCTTTTTTGGTGTTTATGGTTTGGATTAAGATTTAGAATTGACTGTAGTCATATTTAAAGACTATTAAAACATTAGATCAGACTAGTAACGTAATCCAGAGAGCCTCTCCCTTTACCATTATTGTAAAAAAAGAGAGTAAATGGAGCAAGGGGGGTATGTTGGTTCTTTGTGTAAGCCAGTATGAAATATTGATCTTTATTGATCTTTCAGGAAAAAGCCTTTGGTACCTACTGTGCCTTATTTTTTTTTCTGGTTCCTATTTCTATTTGATTATTATAATGAATTTTTGCTCATTATCCAGTATGATCTATCCATTATCCAGTAAGAGCCTTTCAGTTGTTACTGTGTAGCAGTAGTAGTAGTGGCGCTTATTACTATCACTGTATTTTCAGTTCTTGAGGTTGTGTGTGTGTTCATTGGGCAATTGAGGACAACACTAAATCTTGGCAAAGTGAATCCATGATATCTTGTCTTCAGAAACCTCAAGTTGAATTATTTTTCTTTTCAATGAAAGTCTTTTTAGAATCTGAAATAAAATACTATCTTTTGTATAATTTTCATGGGACTTGAATGATAGGTTCTGTACTATTCTCTAAGAAATGTATTAGGGCATGGATCTGTGACCACTAGAAATAGAAGAGGTCTTAGAAATCATATAACCCTACCCCTTCATTTGACAGAAAAGGAAGCTGTGTCCCAGAGTAGTTAGGATTTTTACCCAGATTCACACATTGACAAGCCTAGACTAACTTGTCACATATTGAATTTAACTGGGAGTATTCCCATTTTATAGCAAATTAGACTAAGAGACACCTACACCTTTGACTTGACTCGTTCATTTGGGAAGGATAGTTGCTGAAGGGGTAGATCTAGCTATATAGCTAGGTAAAAATGCCTAGTATTTAAAGAGTATAACTTTAACAGTTTTATTACATAGGTATTTTAGTTAAGAGGAATTATAACTGTATTAATTCAAGACGAAGTTATGGAATACCTCAGCAAGGTAGTAGAACAAAGAAAAGAAAAGGAGAAGCCAAACTCATAGAACCAAGGCAGGCTAATAAGCTATTGACAACAAAGAAGTCTTTAGTAAATAGCAGAAACTTAGCCTCCAGATTCTTCAGAGATACAGCATTTAACATGAAAGAGTTCATCGTTCCAACAGCAGTAAGAAGAAATGGAAGAGCTTTAAGCAAGGGAATGTTATGATCTGATTTGTATTTTTAAACATTGGCTCTGGCTAATCTGGGGAGAATGACGTAGAAAGGAAGAAGAGAAGCAGTAAGACCAATTCAGAGGCTGTTACACTAGTTCTGGTGAGAGATGGTGGTGGCTCGGACAAAGTTAATAGCGGTAGAAATGGAAAGCAGTTAGATCTGTTTTGTAAGGCCTACTTGATAATAAGTGGAGGAAAGGGAGTTTGCTCCGGGAGTCCTAGTATGTGGATGATGCCTGACAGAACAGATTTGGTGGTGATAAGATCAGTAATTCAGTTTTGGACATGTTAAGTTGAGATGCCTATAAGAAATCCAAAAGATGTCAAATAGAAGTTGGATATGCAAGTCTGAGATATAAAGGAATAGCCATATTAACATTGGAGTACAGACTTTCCTGCAAATAATGACACTGAGAAAGTGATCAAGATGGTAAGCTGAGCTTATGATATCCTTTAGTTCTGCCACCACTATTACTGGCATATCCATGATTCCACCTTCTTTAAGATGACAGAGAAGCGGGGCGCCTGGGTGGCTCAGTGGGTTAAGCCGCTGCCTTCGGCTCAGGTCATGATCTCAGAGTCCTGGGATCGAGCCCCGCATCGGGCTCTCTGCTCGGCAGGGAGCCTGCTTCCTCCTCTCTCTCTGCCTGCCTCTCTCCCTACTTGTGATCTCTCTGTCAAATAAATAAATAAAATCTTTAAAAAAAAAAAAAAAGATGACAGAGAAGGTGCACATGTGTATTTGTATCCATATAATAAACACATATGAGTAAGTTGATAACCTGGGAAAAAAAGGGTTGGTGGATGGAAATTTTAGGAATTCCTGAGAGATAGTAAAAATAAAGAATCACATTCATGGAAAAATAAAACCTGATGGAGCTGCAGCTTAAAATGCACAGATCAGGGGCACCTGGGTGACTCAGTGGTTTAAAGCCTCTGCCTTTGGCTCAGGTCATGATCCCAGGGTCCTGGGATCGAGCCCTGCATTGGGCTCTCTGCTTAGCAGGGAGCCTGCTTCCTTTTCTCTCTCTCTCTGCCTGCCTCTCTGCCTACTTGTGATCTCTGTCTGTCAAATAAATAAAATCTTTTTTTTAAAAAGGTACAGATCAATAGTGTTCTCAAACCAGAATCACGTTCAAGTAGTGGGGAGGGGACCTGTAGTGTTAGAGAAGGAGGTGCATGCGGAACGACTAGGCCCATCATGACCCCTTCCCACCACACCCTGTGAATCCAAGCTCAAGCACTAGGTATAACCCAGAGACCAGAGGGAGGCTGAGAGATCCTTCAAGTAGCCTTTGGTTGTGAGGAAGTTCAAGGAGTCTTGTGCCAGGAAGACAAACTTTTGGCACATCCCTGACCCCTGTCATCATATCCCACATCAATGGATTCCAATGCTGGTAAACAAAAACAGCATACACAGACAGTTGGGGACTCTGAAATGATCTTCTGCTAAGAATCACAGAACATTTGAGGAAAACTTGTTTTAGCAAAATGAGGCACCAAATATAATGAGCAAAAAATAACAATGAATAAGCAGCAGGCTTTGAAATAAGTAAAGTTAATATTCACAGAGAGAAAAGAGAGGTTATAGCATATGTAAAACAAATCTAGGATAAAATGAATTAAGGCTGTCTTAGAATTAAAAAATCTGCTTGTCAAGATGGAAAAAACCAAATGGTCTAAATAGAGTGGACACAGCTTAAAAACAAATTAATGAATTGAATGATTGAGCTAGGAGATTCTTTAGAATACAGTCTTAAATTGAGAAAGTTGGACAGTATGAATAAAATGTTGTATGATACAGAGGCCATTTTAAAGCTTCAACATTCAACTCATAGCAAATTCAAATAAAGAGAATGGAGGAGGGTTACAATCACAGAAATAATAGGAAGAAATTTCTTCATGCTGAAGACAGACAAGTTTTGAAAAGGCCCAGTAGTATTGAATAAAAGGATAACTAAAGATCTACACTCAGACATCTTCATATGAAATTTCAGAATGCTAGTGATAAAAAAAGAACTGACTAAAATCTTCTAGAGAGCAAACAGTTCACCTACAAAGGAAAGAAGCAGTCCTGTTATTGGTAAAAACAAGTAATAGAAGATAGAAGCAGTAGTTTTGAAGTGTGAGGAAGATGTTATTCGAACCCATAATTCTATATTTGGACAACTCAGCAATTTGATGTGAGAAGAAAATAAAAACATTTTTGGACCTGCAGTGATCTACCTTTTTGGAATGTTACAAATCTTCTATGAAAGAATTATTTATGAAAATACTCCTGACCCCAAAAAAGCGGGAGTGGGGACGAAAGAAGGGAAAGGAGTGTCGTGAAGGCACAGTATTGAGGTGAAGAAACAGTGGAGAGCTTTATAGTACTCACATGTGCAGTAAAATGTTAGTTGAGCCTCAGAGTGTTTTATCTATGATGTTAATCTTTAAATATATCAATCTGGGCCAGATCAGCTTAACATGGGTGAATAGAAGAAAATGAAGTATACAAGATTCTTTTTCAGGAAAATAAGATGTAGATTAACTTTATACTTCATTAGAAAAACATAATCTGAACTATATGAAGAATAATCACAAATAGGATATTTAATGCACATCATGAGAATAAAAAATTAAATGTTCATCATCCCAGACAAAGACACAGAAAACAAGGAAGTATAGTAAATAAATAAAATACATGATGACAGGAATAAGTATAGGTGATAGATATATGATGAATGGGTTAAATTCCCCAGTTAGTAGAATCTCATACTTTTAAAAATAAAATACAGCTCTAAGTTGTATATGTATGCAAGATGTTTCTAAAGAAAAAAGCAACCTTGTAATTAGAAATTTGGAGAAAAATATTCCACACAAATGAAAAAGAAAGTCATAGTGCTGCTAATATCAGACGAAACAGAATTTAAGGCAAAATGCATTGAACAGGTCAAGGGGGGCTATTTTATATTAATAACAGTTTCCCAAGAAGATATAATTGTCCTGAACATTCTGTGTTACCTAACAACATAGCTTCAAAAACTATGTTGTTTAAAAAAATTCTAAAATTAGAGCAAGGGACAGGGGCACCTGGGTGGCTCAGTAGGTTAAGCTGCTGCCTTCGGCTCGGGTCATGATCTCAGGGTCCTGGAATTGAGCCCTACATCAGGCTCTTTGCTCAGCGGGGAGCCTGCTTTTCTCTCTCTCTCTCTCTCTCTCTCTCTCTTTCTCTCTGCCTGCCTCTCTGCCTACTTATGATCTTTCTCTGTCAAATACATAAATAAAATCTTTTTAAAAAATCAGAGAAAGAGATTTTTGTAAATCTTAATAGACTATAGTATATTGATGTTTCGAATATTTGAACATTTTCATCACCCCAAAATGAAACCCGGAATCCATTAGCAGTCACTGTCTACCACCCCCTCCTTCCCAGTCCTAGGCAATTACTCATCTACTTTGTTTCTATAGATATGTCTGTTCTGGGTATTTCATATAAATAGAATCACACAATGTGTGGTCTTTTATAACTGGTTTCTTTCGTTAGCTTAATATTTTCAAGGTTCATCCATTACAAGTCATTACTTCATTCTTTTTTTTTTTTTTTTAAAGATTTTATTTATTTGA